CGATGGAGAATATGCTGTTAGAGAAAGCTCATCAAGTCCGATCTTCAATATTACTCTCTTTCTGCTTCCTGGAGTTCATAATGGAGGAATGATTTCGGTATATGGTGGCAGCAAACAAAGTGATTTTTTAGAAGAATTATTTAGCCTTTTCTGGTTACTACTTCTTTATAAAAGTCGAAACAAATAAATATGATAATTAAAACAAAAAATTCATCATGCTTTCATTACATAAGAACAAGTACAATTCATCAATCTCTCAAACTAGGTGCAAAGAGCTAGACAACATTAAAACGAAACAAAGTGCTCACACTCGCAGATAAAAAGGAAAGTCGCTCTAGGTTGGAAACTAGGCAACAAAACTCAGTACTGAACATATTGACGGAAAGGTCTGATCTTGTAGTTGACGTCTGTATTAACATCAATCACCCTGTAGAAAAGAACTGCATCACCGACTGAAGTCCCTTTCTCCTAACAAAATGAACCTGGTCACCAGCAAGAACTGGTTTTGGATGCCCATCCGAGCAGATATAGAAGTCAAAATTCCACACAATCCCTTCCTCTTCCATATCCTTAACAGTCAAACTTTGGACGTTATTGCCTTCTACAAAAGAAGGGAACATGTGAAGTTTTTTGGTTGGGATGCATAACCTATAGTCAATAGGTGTCTAAGGTAATCTCTTTGATAAAATCAATTCCTCCATATGAGCACAAAGAGAGAGTGATATTGAAGATAAGAATAGAAGCAAAGGTAGTGGTAAAGGAGGAGGCTATGGAGTGAAGCTGTGTATTTTATAGTATCAGGAGGTGAGGTACTATCACGAACTTTGTGGTTACAAGTACGGTTTTATTCTTCTTTAAGAAAGCACGTAATAGTTAGTGTAATACCCCGTACTTTTTTGTATTGAGTTTTATTAAATTTTATTTTGTGATTCTGAGGGGTAAAGTGTAATAATTTGAAAGTTTTGCATAGTACAAGTAACATGCGAAATAAGTGAGGACTAATTAAAAAGCTTTTAAATATTTTGATGAACAATGACCATTCAATGAAAAAGAGAGGAAAAGAGAGAAGGAAAAGGAGAGAAAGAAAAGAGAGGAAGAAGAAAAGATAGAAGGGAGAGGAAGATGGAACCAATAATAGAGAGAAAGGAGAGAAGAGAACGACGGAAGTGGCTGGAAAAGTGACGGCCGGCGAGCAAATTCCGGTGATCGGAAAGAGCAAAGGGAGATTGATCAAATGGGAGGTGAGTTTAGCTTGATATTTACCCCTTTTGATGATTTAAGATTCAAGTGGTTTAAAGAACTCTCTTTGGATTGTTTTGTCTATGATTTGGTATAAATTCATGAAAACAAAACTAAAATAGGGAGATTGATTTCAATAATTTGGTGTGGGTAGAATATACATGTGTTTCCTAAACAAAATTTGGTTAAAGATGTGATTTTGATATAAGGGTTCACTGTACAAAAATCTGACCATCTGGAATTCTGAAAATTGTTTGTATGTTTTGGGTTTTCATTTGAAGCTGAATTTCGGGTATGCTGTTGTAGACTTCTTGAGGAGTGTTTAGAAATTTATTTCACTCAAAAACTCGAAGGATTGAATTTTATATGGATTTTTGAAGTTGTCTTACGAATTCTAGAATTTTCGTTTTCTGCAGAATATGTATTTTTGGAAAATGATTTGATGCATATATTCTTATCCAAATTGAGTGATTTTAAATTATGGTGAATGATATATGTGTCTAGTTTAATTCTGGAGAGTTTCATGAGGTTTGGATTAAGGGCTGAATTGTTATGAATTTTTCAAGTCAGTAACCCCAATTATGGAAACAGGGGACAAATTTGAATAAGTTGAAAGAAAATTGTTTTTTAAATACTTATTGATTCCGGAATGACCTGAGAAAATTATGGAAACAACTTATGTGTCTCTAGAACGCCCCGTTAAAATTATGGCTTAAAATGATGAATAGAATTTTTAAGAAAAATCCGAGAGCGACCGATGTTTGATTATGAGACAGTTGTGTTAAAGAAGAAGTTATGTTAATCTTTTGGTGTGTGAAGTGTCCAATGATTTTAATATTGAGGTGTTACCTTATGGGGACTTATGTATGGAGGATTTATTGGATTTTGTATATAGGGAGGCAAGCGGGGGCATTATTAGAAGATTTCAATCATTCTTTGGCTTAACAGTCGAGGTTTAAACTGTGAGTGGAAAAATCTAAACGCCTAACTTTCTTTTTAACAAAGTTATCTCTGGATGCTCTTTTATACTTGTTGATTGTTTTAAATTGCCTAATATGTTTGATTTATTTATATAAATGAGCTTTATTGCAATGTTATTGATGGAAATTGTTGATTAAGATGAGAAAGATGGAATTTTGATGTTTTGTGGCAATAGTTCGAAAAGAAATGAAAATGGGTTGAAATTGTTAGATTTGAAAACATTTGAGAACCTGCATTTATATTTTTAAGTTGTGAAATTATTATATGCTCATGAGAAAAATGTTTTGAGAATAAGTATGAGATGATAGTGAGTTTCAAACCACCCTACGTAGTACCCATCCCCCTCATGATGTGGATTTGATTCTATACATGCGTATGATTTGATATTGCCAGCCCAAGTGGGTCGAAGGCCTGAGTGAGGCAGAAAATGGGTTGAAATTGTTAGATTTGAAAACATTTGAGAACCTGCATTTATATTTTTAAGTTGTGAAATTATTATATGCTCATGAGAAAAATGTTTTGAGAATAAGTATGAGATAATAGTGAGTTTCAAACCACCCTACGTAGTACCCATCCCCCTCATGATGTGGATTTGATTCTATACATGCGTATGATTTGATATTGCCAGCCCAAGTGGGTCGAAGGCCTGAGTGAGGCAGATATCGTTACATTGGATGGATTTTGCCGGTCCAAGTGGGTCGAAGGCTCGAGCAAGGCAGATATCGTTACACAGGATTTGATTTGTCGGCCCAAGTGGGTCGAAGGCCAGAGTGAGACAGATATCACTGCACAAGATATGATTTTGCCAGCCCGAGTGATGCTTGGACTTATTGGGTCGAAGGCTTGAGCGGTGACCGATTCTACCTAGCAGGATGGATTTAGTGGTTCAACCCACGCGATGTTAGATCTTGCCAGGTTGGACGGATTTTCCCCTGGGTACTAGTTGGGTGAGAGTTTTCACATGTGATTGAGAGATGATTTGGATATGTATATATATGTATATCATTTATTTGAAAATGGGAACTTCTCAATGTAAATGTTACTGTACATGAACTGTTTCTTAAAAATGATATTTTTAGAGAAACATGAGTACTAATTTGTTTATCATAATAGTGTTCAGAAAGAAGTCTTGCCATGAGAGATTTCAACATGTGTTATGAAAGATGACTTATATTATAAAATTTGTTTATGGAAATGAAATTTTATAAGCATGAGTGTTTTTATTGTATATTGAAATGTTTTATTACATACTAACCCATTCCCCACTCACTGAGCATTTATAGCTCACCTCTCGTTTTCAAATGTTTCTCTTTCCCCCCACCAGGTCAAGAAGGAGATCGTGCAGAGGAGTGAATCCCACTCAAGGTTGGGTCACACGACTTCATTTCATCATATATTCTATAATTGTGTTTTATTTTCTACTACAAAGTTTATGTTTTCTTCACCATGTATTTATTTCTTGTTCTGGATTATTAAAGATGGAAAAAATTCTGATACCATACATTTCATTTTGTGAAAATTTCAGTAATATTTGTTTATTTGCAAATGACGTTACATCTATTTGTGAGAAAAAAAATAAAAGAGTACTTATAAATGTTTTGGCTAGAAGAGTTTTATGATGTTTTTAATTCATAAATAGGTTTCATAATTTTTCCATATGACACGTCTCGATCACCCGAGTCTCATGGATGTATTCGAAGTCTATGGGATAAGGAGGGTCAGGATGGATCGTGTCAATTAGGGTCACAAACATTTATATTATAAAAGTTTTTGAATGTCCACCGTATGAGAATAAACTATGGATTTACACACGTGCTTTTGCTGATAATGACTGTATTCTTATGTTATTTTGTATAAAAATCTCTACACACGTGCTTATAATGACATGTATTGTTACATTATTTTGTATAAAAGTCTGCGTAAGATTTCTTTTTATAATTATTCATAATTTCATATATGTGACACCCTGGGGTTCGATTCATGCTACAGTTTACATATTTTTTTCAAATTAGAGTGCTGGGTGGATGTATGAAGTGTTTTCTTTGTGTTTATAAGTCAAACCAAATTCTTTAGCTGTCTCTTCTTTAGTCTAAAAGGATGACAAGGCGTTGTGCGACTTCCTTTGAATATTCAGTGCATGCCATTAGCCATTGACTAAGTTAGTACAGAAAGGTGACAGGCCTTCCCTTAAATAAATTTCACGGCAACTATTATTGGTTGTATAACTGCTCTCAAGATGCATGCACTAAATGGGATTTTTCCCTGTTGGCCATCACATCACTGTCCCATTGAGCCTGCTAAGAGTTCTTCTGTGGTAGATAATTTTCCAAATCTTATTAAGTTATATGTGCACTAGAACAAGAAGAAACTAAGAAATGAACTACTGTGTATTAAATGCGGTCTGGAATGTTTTGATCAATGCCGCATGCGTATAAACCAAGTCTCCAGTACACGCCTCCTCCATCATCATTCAATTATTTTCTGGCCCTATTGGCTTAATTTTTACAGTCGTTTACTAAGAGGCAAAACTGATTAGACTCTCTAATGTGTGCATCATTACTCAACCCCGCATGCATGTGAACCAAGTCCCCAGTCCGTGCCTTTTCCATCATCATTCTGCATCACTACTCACTTGTTTTTATATTAATTGTCTTCTTGTATGAACAAGATTAAACCTAATGTTCAAACTAACACAGTGGGGTTTGACCTTAATTACAAAGCATTACCACCCATGGAGAGTGATAATTATATTTAAAATCGAATTTCTCCTTTATATTTTCCTTAGGCACACAACAATTACTTACAGTATCGACAATATCTTTTCCTCAACTGCCTTTCAACTCCTTTGTCTAGAGAAGTGAAGTGAAGTTGAACGACATTTCAGAGGAGATGGAGAGCAAAGATTATGTTCCTCTCTTTGAAACAAAGCCAGCCAAGGGACGAATTTTATTCCGATTATATGCAGCTTCAATCTTTGTGGCTATCTGCATGATCTTTGTTTACAGAGTGAGTTACTTTCCCAGCAGCTTGGAAGGACCAGCAGTTGAAAGATGGGCTTGGAGTGGAATGTTTCTTGCTGAGTTATGGTTCAGTTGGTATTGGTTTGTCACTCTTGTTGATAAATGGAACCCCATCTATCGTTACCCTTTCAAAGACAGACTCGCTCTCAGGCAATCTCTCTTTCTCAATCTTTAGCTGAAATTATTTTACCAACAAAACAATAATCTTCTTATTCTCATTAATAGGTACGAGAAATATTTTCCAGGAATAGACGTATTTGTGTGCACGGCAGATCCTGTAATAGAGCCTCCCACTATGGTGATCAACACCGTGCTATCAGTCATGGCTTATGATTATCCACCCGAGAAGCTGAGTGTTTATTTATCGGATGATGGGGGTTCAGATTTAACGTTTTATGCCATGTTAGAGGCGTCTCGTTTTGCAAAGGAATGGATACCATTTTGCAAGAAATTAAACGCAGAACCCAGGTCACCTGAGGCTTATTTTCAGTCAGCAGTTGAACCAATTGATGATCCAATCATGGCGAAACAGTGGCAGTCTATAAAGGTAATCATTTAATGTCATTCTCATGCACAAGACATAAGTGGAACTCGACAATGACATGCAACATCTATTAGTTTTTGGCTTTCGTGTAACGAGTTAAATGTGCAAATCCAAATTCTTCCACATAAAAAACCAGAAACTTGTTGTAAATGTACAACCCATCTACTCCCTTGACTTTTAAACAAATCAGCTCCATATATATTAGTAACCTAAGTGTTTGTAATACGCAAGTTTGATGTTGACTCAAGTTTAATTGTGATACGTATTAGTTTGATTAATATTTCAAACCATATCAATATCTCTATTACAGAAATTATATGAAGATATGAACGAACGGATTGAAACTGCTACAAAGCTAGGCCGACTCTCAGAAGACACACGTAAAGAACACAAGGGATTTCGTGAGTGGGACTTTGTTCTAAGCCGTCGCGATCACCAAACCATTCTACAAGTACTAATTGTTACAATTTAATTTTGTTTCGGTTTCACATGAAAACATTTTATAATTAATGTTGTGTATTGATTGATGAATATAGATACTAATTGATGGGAGAGATCCAAAGGCTGTTGATATAGAAGGACAACGCTTGCCTACGCTGGTGTACTTGGCACGCGAGAAGAGACCTCAATTTCCCCACCACTTTAAAGCTGGAGCCATTAACGCACGCGTAAGCTCCTAATACATTAATATACTTGGCATGCTTGGACATTTTTTAAGAACTTACACTAAACTCTGCTGGTTTATGTTCAAAAAATTCCTGTCTGATAGCTTAGTTTCATATGAATAGATAAGGGTGTCATCGGGGATAAGCAATGGCTCGATTATTCTGAATGTGGACTGCGACATGTACTCAAATAACTCTGCTGCTGTGAGAGATGCCCTTTGCTTTTTTATGGATGAAAAGCAGAGCCATAATGTTGCTTATGTACAGTTTCCACAGAACTTCAGTAACCCCACAAAGAATGACCTTTACGGTAGTTCCCTGATGGTAATAATGGAGGTAGACTTCTGAACTCCTGATAATCTTATACTATCTTTAAATATTTTACGTTTTTGGGTCCAGAGAAAATTTTGATGAAAATTTATATTTTCGTTCTATCTGAAAGAGTTATTGTTACCTTCCCTATCAGGTAGAGCTTCCCGGAATTGATTCCAATGGAGGGCCTTTCTACATTGGTACTGGGTGCTTTCACAGGAGAGAGACTCTCTGTGGGAAGAAATATAGCCAGGATTGTAAGACGACAGACTGGATCAAAACGGTGAATAATAATGATAGAGAAGTTGAAGAAAGTGCAGTTGTACTAGAAGAATCATGTAAAGTACTTGCAAGTTGTAGCTATGAGGAGAATACTCTATGGGGAAAGGAGGTTTATCTCTCTCCCTCTTTCTCACTCACACAAGCACGATTAATTGTACATGCATAAATATAGTTTTCGTTCGATGTGACACATCTCTTGGGATGAATTCTTAAAATTTATTGTATGATTTGGCAGATGGGTTTGATGTACAACTGTGCAGGGGAAGATATAATGACTGGATTAGCTATACAATGTAGAGGATGGAGATCCATCTATCATAATCCTGAAAGGAAGGCTTTCTTAGGACTTGCTCCCACAACACTTGGTCAGTCCCTAGTGCAACATAAGAGATGGTCTGAAGGTGATTTTCAGATCTTCCTTTCAAGCTACTGTCCTTTCCTGTATGGACGTGGAAAGATCCCACTCAAACTTCAACTTGCATACTGCCTTTGCTTGATGTGGGCTCCATATAGCTTGCCTACTCTCTACTATGCTTTTGTGCCATCCCTTTGCCTCCTTAAAGGCATCTCCTTGTTTCCTAAGGTATGGATACTTTTAACAGATCATCATTATCTTTCAAAAACTAATTTTTGGATACAATCTTAAGTTATGATTCATTTAAACCATCAGATTTCGAGTCCATGGGTTATGGCATTTGCATACGCGATGTTGGCCAACCGTGCATACAGCTTAGGAGAATTTATATGGGTTGGAGGCACAGTCAAAGGTTGGTGGAATGATCAAAGAATGTGGATGTTCAAAAGAACAACTTCATACTTCTTCGGTTTCGCTGACAACATACTGAGGCTACTGGGCTTTAAAAAGTCTGCCTTTGAGATCACAGCAAAGGTGGCTGAAGAGGACATATCTGAGAGATTTGAGCAAGAGACAATGGAGTTTGGTGCTTCTTCACCAATGTTCACCATTTTAGCAACAATTGCTTTGCTCAACCTGTTTAGTTTTCTGGGGGGACTAAAGAGGGAAATGTTAGATGGCCACTGTAAAATATTAGATCAATTTGCCGTGCAGATGCTTCTAAGTGGGATAGTGGTATTGATTAACCTACCATTATACCAAGGACTCTTCTTCCGAAATGACAATGGAAGGATGCCTACTTCAGTAACATTCCAGTCTACTCTCATCTCTCTATTGGTCTGCACAATAGCTGCATATTAAGTACCAAAGTGCTACCTCCAGATGCACAACAAAATTTGAGAGTGTGGGAAACTGTTTGTTGCATTTGCAAAGGAAAATTAATAATTTAATGTTGTCATAATCTCTTGATTGCTATCTACAGCAGATGCTTATTTTGTAAGAACCAATATAACTATATTACTACTGTTTTTATAAGATTTGCATGAAATCTCCCTTAGAAGCATACTTTTTTTTGAGATGGCAGGGCCCTAGATTTTGGGTACCCCGCCCGCCCGGCCCGAAAAGGCTGGGCTTTCCCGTAGTGACGGCTTGGTCTTGGGCCGGGCTTGATTTCAAGGCCCACCACGGTACGGGCCGGGTATGGGTATTCTTCAGGCCCGGCCCGCAAATTGTACATCTATTTACTAATTTACCCTTATACTATAGTTTAATTACAGTATTATCCTAAGTTATATATCTCTAATTTTTTTCCCAAACCTAACCTCTAACCTCTTTCCATCCCATTCCCTAACTCTCCCCCCCCCACCTGCTGCCCTTCCTACATATCTCTCTCTCGGTCTCTCCATTTGCGATTCAGCCAATTCTGCAATTTGCCGGCGTGCCGCCTACTTAGTAAAAACTCCTCCGTGCTACCTTCCAGCATCACCTCTGAAGAGTCCTCCAAAAACTCTAAACCCAGGTTGGTTCTAGTCTTCTCTTCCATTTACTAGCTTCAATACTACAACAACATGGGTTCAAGCAAAATCCTTGATAATGGCTATTTTTAATGATTTATTTCATTTTTTGGCTTCAGCTCACTGTTAAGGCCTGCTTGTTTCTTGAAGTTTCTTAGTGCTAGATTGTTATTTGTTGAAATTTGAAAAACAAAGTTGTGAACGAAGTTTAATGAAGTGGGTGATCCTTGGTTTTTAATGTTTTTATTGTTTGAATCATGTGTTTTCTGTCACTGGTTTGATTTTTTATTTGATATTCGTGATTTAAACAGGGATTGGTGGGCGTAATTTGATTTGGTACACTTTAGTTCAAATAAAATGTTGCATAAAATTAAAGAATGGTGATAATAAAAAAAGGAAAGTAGCCATTTAGGTGAGAATGAAGAAGAAGAAGAGTGGCATGCACTGGAATCTAATTTGAATTTTCGAACACTGGTTTGATTATTTCTGTTTGAATTTTTAACTGGGTTATGTTTCTGGGTTCGGCATATTGATGGTACTGGGTTAGTGTAACATCTGTATGTTTTGAGCCTTGATTTATCACTCTAACTGAATATTCAAAAGAAGCATGCTTGAGTAACTAAATTTAACTTATTACGTTATACTGATTGCGTTACCGAGCATATCGCATTTCGTCTTTGCTCGTGAGTTGTTGATTGTGAGCTGATTTTGCAGTATGACATTATATTTGATTGATTATATTCACTTAGTTAGCAAGATTAAAGGTAGCAGATGAATTAGCCTGCATTTCACAACAGCATTTACAGTTGACAACTTGAGTGTAGGATCAATTCAGGTGCTAATTACTGTGATTAAGGCTCAGGATGCTTAACAGATGATGAGTTCATTTTCGTTTTATAATTAAATGTATTTCTTTGCCACTCAAGTGCTTGTTTATTTTATATGAATAACTTAGTTTAAGCTTCCAGTTGTAATTTATGAAACACATGTTATCTGCATATGCATGTAGCTTTGAATACACAAAATTATAAACGTGAATAAAGTTTACATTTTCACGTATCTATCATTAATTATATTATATACTTTAGGTTTTATACTGATTATATAAGAGATCATCACTGCACTTCATCATTCTGATAAGTATAATAAATACCTTTTTTAGTCCGAAAAATATTTTTAGATTACCACCATTACATTAAAAAAAATAATATAAAAAAAAAAACCTTAATAATTTATATATGACATTTATGTTTTATGTCGGTGATTGGGCATTCTGTCCATACTTCAATAATGACAATTGGGACATTGTAGACCATGCAATTCGTTAAAGTCTAAAGCTAACCACTTTACTGATAATATTATTTTTTAATAAATTATATGACATATAACTCTTTTAATTTTATTTTGTAATGTTATTTGATATTCATACTTTTTGTTCATTTTTTTAGGTTTCAACATGTCAATTCAAACTTCTTTACTTGGTAACGAAAAGCTTAGAGGAGAGATGAATCTACCTCTGACTCATCGAAAATTATGTCGACCCGGATCTGATTGGAAGTAATCAAATTCAATCCCCAATTGTCTGAACTGAGGAAGAAATGAATAAGAAAATGCCCCCTTAATGTGTTGACAGTTGCAGCCATACTATAAAGACAAATCAGTTGTATGGTAGCATTTCAAGAAATTAAGTTGATGGCAGGATAAAGCAGAGTGTAACTATTGTCGTAAGCAACTTGCTGGTGTTCCAAAAAACGGGAAAAGGCACTTGCATGCACATATTAAAATTTGTCCAAGGCGAAAGTATGGATGTATCACAGAAATTCTGTCGATGACCCCGGGAGAGGATTCAAGTTCAAAGTCACAAATGACCTTACTTCGCATCAGCTTGATCAAGAGGTCGGTGAGAAAAGGACCTAGCAATGATGATTGTTCTACATGAATATCTTTGAGCTGGTTGATCATTACGGTTTAGAAAATTTTGTAACAACAGGCAACCGTTGTTAAGGTGGTGAGTAGAACACTATAATAAGACATATTAAGATGTATGATGTAGAAAAGAGAAGACAATGAAATTGTTACAAAACCGAGTAGATTGCTATCACTTCGATTTGTGGACTGCCAGCAATCAAACAAAGGATATATGACGATCACAGCGCACTTTATCGACAACAACTGGGTCTTACAAAGTCGACTCTAAGATATTATCTTTTAAGGTTTTATCATTCTTATTTTTTAATACAATTTTTGTAGTTAATTAATAATATTTTTTATGTATAATTAATGTTACAGATTTGTATATTTGGCCTTGCCCACATACGAGAGTGTGCTTGCTGTGGCATTGATGACGCTTTTATGAGTGATATTGATAGAAAGTTGTCGACATTGACGCTTGATAACTGTCCACCAATGATGCAGTTGTTGAAGATATCTTGAACAGAACTTCAAGTGCCTCACTTATGTTACGTGGTTCATTTTTCATATGCTGTTGTGCGCATTTCTGATCTAATTGTACAAGATGATTATCGGTGATTGGACAGCAATTGCAAGAATCCGTGAGAGCGTTTGGTTATTTGGTCAGCATCTCCTAAAGAGAGACAAAATTTGTTGAAGCATGCACACGTCAGAAGCATTGAAGTACAAAGAGTTGGCTCTTGACTGTAAGACTTGACTGGAACTCAACTTATTAATAGCTTGAAACTGCTTTCTTTACAAGATGTTGTTTTTTTTCGTTTAAAGCTTTGTGAGCCAAAAATATAGATGTTTGCCACTGAGAGGAATGGGAGTTGCAGAACAATTTGTTCAAGTTGAAAATATTTTATGTTGCTACAAACTTGTTCTCTGGAACAAAATATCCGACAATCTAATATTTATTTCCCAAAAGTTTGTGAATTAGAATTCATTGTCTAATTGCTCAGATGTGGGAATGATTGATAAGGAATTGCAGCAAAAATGCTTGAAAATTTAACAAGTATTGGGATGTGATTAACGGTGTCTTGGGGTGCGAGTCTTTTAGATCCTAATACAAAATGAAATCGTTAGATTATTTTTTTCCCCGGATCTAGGAGTGATGGTAAATATCATATTCTGAATTCAGGATTATTATCAGATTTATTAATCATATACCAATCGAAGCAAGGAAGTATAGTCAACCTCCTCCCAATGCAGCCTTTTTTGCAGACTAAATTCCTTGTAGTTGAGGACGATGGTCCGTTAGTGACTTTAGATGTATATTGCACAGAAATCAAATGTTGTGAAGGAAAGTCAGAACTAGATTTTATTTAAGAGGAAAACTTTTGCCTAGGACTCCTAACTGGACATTATTGGTTTGGCGGAAGACAACTGGGCCTAAATATCCATCCTCTCTTCTATTGGCTCGAGACATCCTTGCATTCCTGTCGCCACAGTGGCTTCTGAATCATATTTAGCACGGGTGGGAAGTATTAGCCCACTCGCAACAAACTTCATTCAGATACATGTAAGCATTGATGTGTGTTCAAAATTGGTTACAGGCGGATTATAAAAAGGTGATTAATTAAGTTTTATTTTTTTAACATATTTGTCTTATTGTCTTTAATATATATTTTTTATTCTTTAAACTGATTGGTCTTAATATCTTTAATACATTATATTTTGCATTCTTATTAGGTTCAACAATCATGTTCGACATTTTTGATGACCGATGATGAAGAGATATTATAATGCAAAGAATAGGTATGCATTGGTTAATATTTAGTATTTCTGTGTTATATGCTTCTTATGTTTTTTATAATTGCGAGAGGTGGACTTACCTGACTGGAGCTTGCAAAACTTAAAAGACAACAACTTAGAAATTTGTGATAGATTTTATGTTTTGTATTTGTCAGATTTTACTATCTCAATTTGCTTGTTTGACTCTTATGGTTATGTTATACTCTAAAAATGGATGATACACATTCGAATGTTTTATTATTTTCGAATGTTATTTATCTATTTGTGTTATTATATACTTGTTGAATGTTTTACTTATTTATGTATTTATATACTTGTGAATGTTATTTGGGATGTTCCAATTTTGCATCTATCATAACAAGTATATAATTTGTTGGGAAATAAGAAATAAAGCTTAGCCTTGGCTACTCCAATTTCAAAATCATTTACAGAGGCAGATAAAATTGGAGTACTTGGTCAGTACTATATCTATATCATGAAGCTACAATTTTGTTCACCGCAAAAATGATGGCAAAAAAAAGGCGGGCTTGGGCCGGCTGCTTCCTAAAAAGCCGCCAGACGGGCTGAGCTTTGTTTATCATACCCGCAGTCGGGCTCGGCCCGGGCTTGGGCCTGGGCCATCAGGCGGGCTTGGGCCTAGGCCAAGGGGTACCCGGTCCTGCCTCGCCCATGCCATCACTAGGTGGATGTATGAAGTGTTTTCTTTGTGTTTATAAGTCAAACCAAATTCTTTGCTGTCTCTCTTTAGTCTAAAAGGATGACAAGGCGTTGTGCGACTTCCTTTGAATATTCAGTGCATGAATTACCCATTGACAAGTTAGTACAGAAGGTGACA